TGTAGTAATGGAGACAGACGGCCAACTTCAAATGGAGGAATGTGAGTTTGAGTGTTTGCCGTGTTTTGGGTGGTGGATCGGGACTAGAAAAGCTTTCAGCAGCAAGACATTTTGATGCTTCTTCTCTTGTACATTTTGGTTTTCGACTGGTATTCAGACTCGCTAAAAAGAGGCCAACTGTAGTCTGCAACTAATATCTCATTTTCTGCTGCTGCTCAGTTTTCTTTGGTATCAAATGGGAATTCTTCACAGTTCATCTTAATATGATAGATCTTTCATTTCTCTAATGAAAGATCCTTGAAAGAATTTTTGTAGTGAAAGAATCCCTGCTGTGCACCTCTTCTGATTTTTTTTATTTTTATTAAAGGACCATTGAGGATGAAAGTTGCTTTCATGTACACATACCTCACTGGAAGGAAGACATATTTTTACTCAGTATAAAGTAACCATTGTCTGCTTACTGCTGACTGACTGATCCTCAGTTAGTTGAGCAGTAGAGTTAAGCTGTCTCAGTCTTTACTATTACATTTGGCATTGTGTCTAAAAAATAAATTGAAGAGAGAATATACAGTATACATACAGGGTAAATGAAGACAGACAGTATACAGAATAATAACACTCACTCTGGATCACGCTCTGCTCTGAAAGGCTTCATGGAATTCAAACATTTCTTAGTCTCAGTTCATTTGTGAAAGTGTGTACTCAATCACCATCTTGTGGCTGTTTTGTGAACAACTGCATTCTGTGAAAATGAATGAGGAAGCATTAAGTGCATTACACAGTATGTGTGTAAGTATTTCTTTACGCTCCCATAATTTGACACACATTTAACCAGGAGGATTTATAGTTGCTGTCGGATTGAAAATAAAAAAACACACCTGTTTTTAATCTAAATCGCAAAACACAAGATGGTGGTTATACGTGGACACATATTCCTGGGATGATCTTTGTTAAAGATCCCATAAAAAAAACACCTCACTTTCTTGTGACTTAACTTCACAGCCACTGCAGCACAGTGAACTATCATGTACTGTTAGCAACCTCCTGATAGTCATGTCTTTTCCCTCTTTTTCTTTTTCTTTTAATGTCTCAGAGCCCACAGACCATCAGCCAGCAGACCTCCACCAGGAGGAGGGCGACCCAAACCTGCACCCAAACCCAAACCCCAGGTGCCCCAGTGCAAAGCTCTGTACGCCTACGATGCTCAGGACACAGATGAGCTCAGCTTCAACGCTGACGACGTTATCGACATCATCAAAGAGGGTAAGCGCGGGACGAGACGACATTTGCACCTTTGGCTTTTTGTCCTGTTTTTTGTTATGATCTCAATATCAGATGTTGTGAGCTTGAAATGTGACACTAACCTGGTCATGTCTGTTGGTTAGATGCCTCCGGGTGGTGGACAGGACGACTTCGTGGAAAGCAGGGACTTTTCCCCAACAACTACGTCACCAAGATCTAGGAGCTACCGGTTTACAGCATGAGTAGGAGAGCCTGCTGCGTCCCTGCTGACCCTCTCAGAGGACGGGATGGAGCTTCCAGTCAGAGAGAGAAACACTGAGATTGCTTGAGGAGAGAAACTCACACTTCCTCCACTACTGCCTTTGTAGTAAATGAATGTAACTCTCGGTTACACCGCTAGACCAAAAGACCGTCAGGCTTGAAATGAGGCTTAAAAGACGAGAAGACTGTTTGACTTCGGGGTCTGTTTTCCTCCACAGTCCCTTCGAGTACTGAACAAAACTATTTATTGTATTTATAGCTTTCTGTGTTCTCCTTACTGTCAATTATATCTTGCAGAGGATTTGAGCTCAAACATTTTGAAGCTTTGGAATGAAGTATGCGTAATCTGTGGGACCAGGCTGTGATTTCTCGTTTTTTAGATGAAGTTTTGATTGCTGAATCAAAGGCGGTTATCTCAGTGTCAAAACTGACTGGACTGCTGCTTTACCAGGAATATTTATTTTGGTGCAAAACTGTAACTACTTACAGGGAATGGAGTTTCAGTAAATCATCACACTGTGATTTTTTAATGATTTTAAAATACCAAAGCGATATGAGTTTTAATAGATCTGTTCCACACCTGCAAAAATATCATTCAAAGGGCAAAGCGGTCAAGTGGTGAATCACCTGGAAAACCACCTTCATCTGTATTTTTTTTGTTGTTGTTTTTGTTATTCTATCACACCAGTATATTTTCGACACAGAGTAGGGGCCACATATACTGTAACCTGAGCATGCTGTCTGTGGTGTATTAGCACTTTATTGGTACAGGTACTACCTTGGACACAGACATCTTCACTCGTTCATGCCACAGCCAGTAAGTCAAGTCTACAAAAGACAGGTTGCCAAGCTAGCAATAAGCAGAGTTATTGAGGAGAACGATTTGTTTACATGAAATGATAAAAACAGGCATTTTAGATCTGATTCTGTATATGTGTTCATATTTAGGAGTACACCTGTTGTTGGTTAGGATTTAAATTAATTGTTTTGTATTTTCTCTGAAGGATCTTAGTATTTTATTATTCTTTCTGCTTTTGATACTCACAGGGCTGCTTTAACAGATAGTTAATAATGGTTCTCACAGACTATAGGGTGAATGGATTTTTGTTTTGTCGAAGCGTTTTAGGTGACAGAAATTTGTTGACATTTTTCCGTGGCACTACAAAGGATTCCTTTTGCTTCCGCTTGACTGTTTCAGAACATTTTTTGCACTGCTGTTGCATTACTTACACATTCCTAATCTTAATTTTTTTGTTTTTGTTTATCAAATAACCACATTATTCTAGAGTCAGTGAAAACTGCTGGGACTTCTGTCATAGATCTTCTGCATCATCAAATATAGCTTGATCTTGGATGGTTGAAAACATCCTTGTGCAATAAAAAAAAAACCAGTAGATTTTAATAAAGCATGTAATATTGTATATTTAACTGCCTTGTTTTGTTTTTATTATATGAACAATGATCACTCTGATGTTATGTTTATCACCGTATCCACATGCCGAGAAATACTGAGGTCAATAATTTAAGTTACAGACACATTTTGACCAAATCCTACTAAATAATCACTTTTTGCTAAATGTAATAAATTAATTTAACTGTTCAAATATATACCACAGAGTTTCCCTACATAATTGATCCGAAGGGCTATTTCCACTATATCAGGAATAAAGTTCTGGTGAGGAAATTGCTTAAATAATTAATGCTTTTCTTTATTTTTTGACTAAAATTTAATTTAAGAACACTGAGTCTAAATACTGTATGTGTAAATTGAAATTGTTTCCTGTAAACTGCATTTCATGTGACTAAATCCCTCAAATTATGGGAAAATGTGTTCAGTAGTAATTATGGGAACTGTCCTCACCATTATCTCTTTCAATAATGGGGACAGAATTTATTTTTTATCTAGCTCTGTGACATCCGTCATTTTACGCATTTCCAATAAACACAATAGGATAGGCTTTCATGGAAGCCATTTTGACATGCCACAGTAGGACAAGCACAGGTGTGAATAATTAAATGAACTAATGGCTGTCACACTGTCATGAGCTATGATTAATGTTATTAGCAACACCTGTGCTTTTCCTAGTGTGACAAGTCAAGATGTCTGCTGTTAAAAAGGTCTATTTTAAGCAACAGTCCTTTGGATTATTAATCTTGAGTGAGAACCTGTAGAGGAACCTACAACAGGTTTATTTCCTCCCTGAGCTTCTGTTCCAAATTCTTTAAAATGTACCTTTAAAGGCCACTATAAATCATTTTCAGAGTGCACTGACATAACACAGTAGTCAGGTACATAGTGTTCATTTGCTCTGGCTGTTCACCTGCTGCAGTGCACCAACGATGGGTGCCACTACTGTCGCATTATTTGTTGTGTAGGTGAATCCTTCAGCTGTGTAGTGACTTATAAGAGTATAAGTTTGATCTAAGGCTATGCAGACACATATTTTTGCTCACATTTCCCAGTGTCCAACGTCCCCTCTCTACTCAGACCTGAAGCTAATCTTATTTTTTTCCAGTTTCGTTCAACTAAACATACAGAAGATACATTTTTATTCCCTAAACATCACTAAATTATAGCTGTATGTTTAGTATCAGCTGCTGCTACCAGAAACTTTAACACAATATGCTCTGATGGTTGAGGGCAGCACATCACAGGTTGTTTCATGGATCTAATAAACAAACTTTACTCTTTTTTAGATCATTGTCTTTGCACCAAGACTTGATTTGGTGCAGCTCTTCTTTTTATGCTCCACTGACAAATTCAGTGTTTTTTTATGTCCACCTTGTGGCTGTAATAGCTACTGCACATGGTCCTGTGTTTTAACTACAATGGTTTAAACATCACATTTAGTTTGAATTTTTCAAACTCTTAAAATCCACCAGCAGACATTCCTATTTATTACTTTTATTCTTGTTTCTCTTTGATCTAGGTATGGATGCGGAGGACCATACCATATAATATAATATACACTATATTTAGTGTATGAAGTATTTTTCATTATTAGCAACTTGACAACAAAAAACAACTGACCTTGGTGATGCAAACTTGCATTGAAAGAGGAATTTACCCCTTTATCAGTTTTTCCAGGTTGTTTTTATGGCAGTTGCATTTATATATTAAATATTGCTGCCCAATTAACTATCCTTTCAAAATAAAATAAAATAAAATATATATAAACAATATACAACTCAGGGACATTATTGCAAAGAGTGCAACAGTATATATCCTTCAAAATCGTGAATTATTTTCTACCCAGGGTAACTCTTAAAAACAATATTGCATTTAATATTGGCAGCATCAGTTTAGACTATTTTCAGCACTTACAGGTTCAAGCTTGTTTCCCTAAAGATGATACAAATATCTTTAAAATCTATATTCAGTATTTGAATTGATGCAGATTCAAAGACAGACAATGTTCTCAATGACATTTCATTAAGTGACAAAACATTCAGTCAAGCATCTGGTTTGTAAAGAGGACACCAAGGAACAGACTCAATTAAGAGTTATCCAAGTTTATTAATATTATTTTTTAAAACTAATATAAATCCCACAGAATATGATCCTGGTGCCTTTAAGTCAATGAATGCATGGATACCTGCTTTAAGTACTGCATTTCAACACTCCATTCAAAATATCTTTTTTTTTTTCTCCTTTTTTAATATTCATCAGAGTGGAAATACATGGCCTCAGTGCACTGTCATATTCACTACTACTCTCCTACCTTTTTCTCTCTTGTGCAAGTCTATGCGAGTGAGTTAGTCAACAGTATTAGTGTTTTTCTTTCTGCAGCAGCCAAAATGGACGCTGCTGCTCAACTACAGAGAGACAAAAGGGAGGGTGGATAAAATGGTTGGAAGTGTGAGAACAAACAGTAAATATTTATCCCAAATTGAGCTGTGTATTTCCCTCTGAACACACACACACACACACACACACACACACGAGCGCGCACACACAGACACACACACACAGGAAATTAAAGTCAACCGCCACTGCCAGTATCAAATTGACAAAAATGATCCCAGGTCGTAGGCTCATGTGAAATTCCTTACACACGTGTAGACCTCAGATCATCTTACAGAGACCTAGTTAACCATCACAGGCCCGTCTGCCGGGAGGAACCCCAACAACAAAATGAAAAAAAAAAAATAAAATAAAATAGCTTCACAGCAGATCCCAACAATCGTTCAGTTTAGAAAGAACAGTCAAGAGAGGGAGGTGACATTCTTTTTCTGGTTTTCTAAAATACATCAGATTACGGTGGTAACGGTGTTTTAGTCAAATGAAGTTGCTGGAGGGAAGTGTCATCGTAGCAAAGCATGTGCATATTCTGGGAGTGAGGTGAACATTGGAGTTTATTTCCACTCTAGAAATACTGGGTGTGCACTAATACAGCAGCTGATCTGTTAACATATTTCCCTAGTTAGGAATGTCTCGATTTACTTAAAAAACATCTTTCACTAACAATTCCACATCTTCTAAACATAAACTAATCAATACAATGATTGGTAAAAATGAATCCTGCAATGTTGTTTTTTAAACTGGAGGCTGACATTCTATTCTAGTAAAGCAAGGCATTAGGTTTACAGAAATGCATCTTTACTAGAGCAGCTATCCTCACCTGCAAGTTGTTAGGCCGTGTTAAGCCCACGTTATATGTGCAAAGAAATGCATTGCAAGGAAACATGCAGAGAAACGAAACAAAAATGACACTTGAGGAAACAATCAAAAGCTACATAAAAGCTTTATAAATACAATAAAATCTTAAACCCTTAATGGAAAATTCTAGCTGTTGTAGTAATATGTGATAGCTGGCACTCTAGGCTCAATGCTTTTTTGTCAGATGTTTTTTTATTTTCTCGTAGTAGAGCGGCGCAGGTAATTCATGCCATCTTTGGTTGACTGCGGTACTGAAGAGAAAATTAATATGATCTCAAAATAAATTTTCAACAAAAGGGGGGTGTTAGAAAAACAGCATCAACTCTCAGCAGACAACTGCGCCTCAATGTCCACTCTGCAGATGGGGCACTTCTTATTGGTGAGGAGCCACTGATCCACACACAGCTGATGGAAGAGGTGCATACACGGTAGGCGTCTGGTGGGGAAACGGAGGAAGAGGAGACAGAGAAAGTGCTTTTAAGTCACATCCATTATTAAAAAGGAACACTGTAATCACCTCAGTTTTATGATCAGCAGGACACAGTGTGGTCCAGCTCTTCTCCTGGTTTACTTCTACTCTCTTTCTGCTCTTTTTTTGTTGTGTTTTGTAACCATGATGTACAACCTGGTTAGCCCCTTTATTTGTTTAAAGGATAAGTCTGGTGATAGTCTAGATTTTTCCTACAGACATCAAATCCCATGCAAACACCAAAACCAACAATGAATAGATCCTCAATATAGAAGATAATAGATCAATGTCTTTGCAGCCAGAGCCTGATGTTGCTCAGTCCTCCGTGCCACAAATCTCCATTGTTGTCCCAAAAACAAACTTAAAAACAAATCAACAAGCTCCACCATTTCACTGGGTGACATGTTACTTCATTATCATTAAGATGGACATTTATTTCAACCAATCCCACATACACTGCTGTATGTGTCATTAGTGCTCCACGGTTGAAAATAGTCCCCAACAAAAACACTATTGCTCATTTGCAGCAGCAAAAGAACCACAGGCTGGAATTAAACCCAGCCTTAGTATATTTGTAACCCATTTCATAAGATTTTCATCTTTAGTAAGAACAAATAGCTTGGGGCCTCAGACAGGGTCAATAAAACAGAATATCACCAACCTTATTCTTTAAAAATGCTTTTCAAATAAAATGTATCCTGAATATGACCATAACTATTTAAGGAAAAAATTATATATGTTACAACTTTTATACATACACACATATATATTACATATGTCATACGTATGTTACAGTTCAGTTATTTATACTCAAAATAATTGAGTAATTTAGTAAGAGAGCATGACATTCATCACTTCCTTTTATACCAACAGAGGGCAGAAAATCCTCTTAAAAAAAAACCTGAATCAGTGCCAAAAAGCAGTTCCATGAGGCCGGTAATTTTAAGGCACTCTGGGGTTTTCTGTTGATTACTATACCTTTGGGTTTTTAAAAATATATATATCTCGAGAGACGGTGGCAAAATAAAACAACTACACCTGCCATCCCACATGTCTGTGTTCACATGCTCACAGACACGCCCCAGAAAGCATAATTGAACACACTCAAAACTGTGAGCAATAATCGGCGCAAACACCCAGGAGGGTAGCCATTTACCTAACGTCTTCCCCTTCCTCCAGTATTGACAGACAGATGGTGCATTTTTCTTCTGTGTCTTCGTCTGCCCCCTCATCTTCGTCTTGCTTACCATGCAGCTTTCTCTGTTTGTGGGAAACATTTGGAAACATGACTTTTGATAAGCAGCATCCATCAGTAAAGCTGCCTCAGCAGTATCATTACATATGGTTAATTATCCTATTAATCCACTTTCTGTTAAACACATTAAACTGCTCAACTAAAACACTGCAGTAATATTACCAATACATATTACATTTGTATAAAAAATATAATCTTATTTATGAAGAGGTAACTATGTTTAAAACAAACACTTCAACAAAACATTAAATTCTTTAGGGGACAGAGAGAATGGTCATTTTGTCCTGAAAACAGAAAAAAATTTCTATCTCTTGTCTCTAAGCTAAACACATTTATCCAAATCAAAGTTATTCTAGAGCCGAATTCCCTGGCCCCCAAGACTAATACTAACATCTACTGTACATGTGAGCAGAGACATGTTTCCAAATTGATTTGTTCATTATTTCTCACCGATTCTGGGGTTGCGTGCATATTTTTCCCAATAGATGCCCAAGCTTCAGGGGTTAACTGTTGGTCAATGTCTCTCTCCAACACCTTCTGTATTGGGTGGCAGGGTGTTAGATTGCTTATTTAGATACATTTGGAAACCTCTATGGAAACTTTTCCCCAACAATGTCTTCACAGCTGCAATCTCACACACTACAGTATTTTGCTAAATGTTGGCAAAACATCAGACGTTTAAAATGAGCACAAAAGACCACTGCGCACTCTGTCCCAGAATAAACTGTAACAGACATGCACAACTATATACAGCATCTACACAAGCCAATGAAGAATATATACATTGCTACACACACGCACACGCACACACACACGAGTCCTCACCTTTTTGTACTTGTGTGGGTAAGTGCACCTCTCTATGGTTCCCTGAGAGGCTCCTCGGTTCACAGTCCCCAATCTTTCCTCTAAATGCAGCAGGTCCTGAATGGAAGTAGTGTAAACAAACTGCTTAGAGAATGACAGACACATGCGCAATTTGGCACGAAACGGCAGCACACCTGGACACAAGGTTTCTGCGTCTGTGCTTTTCACCGCCTAAAGCTTTTCTTGTCATCCAATAATCCCCACTAATTTAGAGGTTGAACCCAGTGACTCACTGAGTTAGAGTTGTTTATGAAAAAGTCAATGCTCCCCAGAGCTCACGGATCAAACCACCAACAATATGATTAATGGCTGATCTGCTCTGCCAGCCTCGAGTTCAACTAAATGTTAACCTGAGAAAAAAAAAATGAGATGTGGTTGAACGTTCTGGAAAAAGCTAGAGAGTGAACCTTAGGTTAGGATATTTTTAATGCCTGTTTACACTTTTATTGGGGGATAACACACAACAACAAATAAAACAAAACATCAATAACAAAAAGGAGTGGATGTCATAGATATCACTGTATATAGCTTTGTATTATCCATTACCTGTCCTGGATTTATCCTGTTAAAACAGTCTATAAAAATTGCTGTATCAAATAGAACACGTTCACCTTTCCTCTTAGTAAAATCTATATTTTTCTAACTGTAAGTGCTTAGTCATGTTGTTCAGCAAGGTTGAGTTGGCTGTTGGGTTCTTCCTATTCAACTAAACCAGTCTTTGTGATAATAATGTTACAAAACCTAACATTTAATATTAATATATATAAAGCTCTGTGATAACAAACACTGCACTGAGTTTGGAATATTTCAGTCCAATAACTTGTATACACTTCTCCTATAGCATTATATCCTGCTTTCTCCTTTCCCTGTGATAGCTGTGTTTATCAAATTGTGTGTTTTGAATATAAATAAACTCATTATTACAGTATGAAAATAGTGATCAGTCATGTGGTGATAAGTCAAGCAATTAGTAAGTTATTAATTAATTATAAAGTTGAGGTGATGAATTTCCTCAAGTGGGCCTGAGACTAAAAACTAATTTAGCAACTGTGAATTAAAAAAACAAAACAAACAAACAAACAAAAGCTCTCACCTCATAGGTTCTTCCAAAGCCAGTCATTCTAGATGAGATGTACCGAATGTGTGGGTAGGTCACTTCAGATATGCCAGCGTGCTGTGAGAGATGACAGAAAACAATGACACAAACTGTTTAAATTCTGGGAAACATTTTCTTAGAATAATCGTGGCATTAATTCATAGATTATTGCACTTAAACCTTCCAGGATCCAAGGACTCCTATGCATCATTTAATAAAGACCTTATTTTATTTGACAAGGTTTTAAGCTTCTGGTGAGTGTTCAATATAATGTATGCTATTAGTGGCTGAGTCATTAGGCTTTGTGCAATCCTATCACTGTATTCGTACAGGTATTGGGGAAACTGGATAACTAGCAGTGCCTGGAATTAGTTTGTTCTATAGAGAGGGATACATTTTCTAGCCTTGGTACTTGGGACGCCAGCTCTATTAGGTACGCCAACTGTATATAACTTGTTGGTCTCTAGCAACTCCTGATGGAAATATGAGGCTCTTTACCCCACTATGTTTACCACCTAGTCTGTTGCTGTTTGGTGCTGAGCAGGTAGTGTACAGTGTTTTTTTAGAGCTTTTTCTCTTAAAAAAAGCTTCCTGCTGTGGCTGAAAACCACGCTATCAGAGCTGTGAGAGTGAACCAAAATGGTAAAGTTGTGAGCTAAAACTAAAACTGTACAACTAAAGCCGTAAAGCAACGTGAAGCTAAGGGGCCGCTGCGGATTCTGTAGGTTTATCATCATGAATCTTTCACATTGTCACAACTGCCATTTGATACATAGTTATTATATAGTTATAGATCATACCTGCTTCAGGTTTAACTATATCGTGTTTAACTGACATTTCGTCACATTCAAATCTTTAGGTTTTCAGGTGCTGGTAGCAGTTAAAAGCTAACTTGAGTGTAAGGAAGATAATTTATTTTAAAAACAAATCAGATGGGCTGCTGAATGTGTTCACATGGCAAATATGTAATGATGAAGGTCATAGATGGATACAAATTAAAGCTAATGAACTCACTTGCATACCCTTTGGTTCTACTTTCCTACCTCCTAATTCTGAGTGGGATGTGCTCAAAACATTTGGAAAACAGCAGTCTGACTTTATGTGCACTTTCATCGATGCTACAGAGGAGAACTGATTGTAAAAGACAACTAATGTTGGGATGTTTGAGGGTGACCAAGGAAAAAAGCAATAACATCAGGAAACCGTCGACTATATTTGCCCAGGATCTGTCTCAAGGCTTGTGGATTTGTTGAGTATGCACTTGAAATGCCTGATGAGCTCCTATTAATTGCTAATACATTATTCATGTGGTTCACCAAACCATCCTTGAAATAACTAATGTTATAAATAAGGGGCCAACACCATTAATCTAAGCCAGACTTCATATAAAAGTGATTCTCTCTCATTTATGCTAATGTATGCATGTGTGCTGAGGGTTTCTCTCACCATGAAGGGGATGGGGAAATGGTGCAGTCTGGGGGGAGGGTGGTAGTGGGGCAGGTGGGAGTGCAGCCCTGAAGGGTACGGTGCCACAGTCACTCCAGCCTCAATGCCTAGCTCCCTGTTGACAAACACATGGCAAGCAATCAGTCATCATTACATCAAAACCAAGGAACTGGAGAACTGTTGAGTCATGTAATATTTGCTTAGCTGACATTAAACCTGGGTTAAATTAGGAATAAAACCAGCCATCTGCTAAGCCTCATTGCCTCTTATACTGACCATGCTGTTCTCTGCTCAGGCTGGCGAGGGTGGGAAGACATAGTTTGTGGCACATGGATGTGGTGTCCGTGGCCGTAGTTTGGGTGCATTCTGTGGGGGTGTGGAGGCGGACGCTCGTGTGCTCGTCTGCGGAGAAAGGAATATACAGGTTCACAGCTGGAGTTTTATCTTTTACAACAATACTGATACTCAGGATGAAGCAAAAAAAACAGGTGGGTGATGGTGGTGGGTACTCACGTGGGGTGTTGCATCATCCTGCGCCTCTGGACCTCCATCCTCAGCATCTCGTGTTGATGGAGCCTCTGCACCGAAGCCCCCAGTGCCGGTATATGGTGTGGCAGGGTCTGGTGGTCCGCAGGCATGTGCTGGGCCAGTGGAGCACTTGAACTAGAGAGGTGGTGGGTAGACAGAGGAGGGGGAGGGGCAGGGGGCACGGCGTGGCCTGAAGGGTGGGATGGCAGTGGCGGATGAAAGGTGACAGTGTGGGGAATGACATAATCGCCTTGTGGAGGGGGCTGAGGTGTAAGTTGGGGGTTCCCATGGGAATGAGGACAGGCGGAGGAGGGCTGATGATGCAGTGAGCGTGCTAGAGGGCCATCTGGGTTTGAGGAAGGAGAGACGGAAAAAAATTAAGTAACACATCTTTAAAAACTAAAGAACAATGCTGCAGATTCTCTATCTTTTTGCTATTGTTAACAAATCCCATGGAAAGACCAAATCCAACGATGCGTGAGTCTGTCTGTCAGTACTTTCTGACTGTTCAAGCCTGTCTGTGGCACTCATTAATTCTTACTGAAGACATACATTACATACATACAAATAAAACTACAGTGCCCACGTCTGCTGTCATCAAGAAATTATGTCAGCCAGTACAGCAATATGGCTCAGTGATTTTTTTTTTTTATTAAATCAGGACTAAGCTACATCACAGGTAATACTTGCTAATGGGATCAAATAGTTGTAAGTGACTGTAAGTCATCCATTTAATAAATATTCATTTATTTTTTCTTCTTGGTGGAGACTTCCTTGCCACTTGTCCAAGCAGCAGTAAAATGAGGAAGAGCGGCGAAACAGGCAGCAACTAACTCCCTTACTACATCCCCACCAGGGGAGGCTTGTCACAACGCTTCACTCTCCATACTGAGCTATTCTGAGTTGAATGAGCAATTAACTACTTCTGCCTGGTACAGTTCCCACAGCACTTGGCACATTAACCATCAGGCTCTGTTTAATTACTATTAGCATTATGTTTTAGGAGTGCAGCTGTCTGCCAATTTTCGCAAGTACTATGGCAATGCAGATGAGTTAATTCTCCAAATGCAGTAGCTGACACTTGTAGTCCAACTGAAATTATATTGCATATTGTTTTGTCTACTACAGCACATATCTGCACTGTATGTCATGTGTTCTTCTTTAAGAAAAAAATTAGATAAGAGAATTTTTTATTTTTTATTTACTGGTTTAATGGTAGAGTCCCCTAGTTTTGCATTAATTTGATGGAAGACTGATAGATATCCATGTACATATGAACACTTTATTGCAAAACATGCCAATCAAATCTTGAATAAAGAAGTAACGTCAGTGTGCCGTTATATGCAGAGCAGACTCACTGAGCCAGACAACAACCTGCTATGCAACATAAGAGCCAGAGACTCTAAACAACCAACCACTTAAGCTTTCCTGCTAATGTCTCCTTCTTACACCGATAACATATCTATAACATTATGACCACCTGGGCACGCAGGTGGTCATAATGTTATGCAGCCCCATACGCAACAAACTGTGATGCATTCTGTGTTCTGACACTTTTCTATCAGAACCAGCATTAACTTTTCCAGCAGTTTGAGCTACATTAGCTCGTCTGTTGGATCGGACCACACTGGCCAGCCTTCGCTCCCCATTTGCATCAGTTAACCATATTTGATCACACACTGCCCATTTTTCCTGCTNNGTTCACTTGCTGCCTGATATATCCCACCCACTGACAGGTGCTATGATAACCAGATAATCAGTGTTATTCACTGTTATGGCTAATAATCGGTATATCTAACTTGCAAATGGGAACATATGTCTTGTCCTGCATGTTGAACGAGCAACCAAACAAACGTTGACCAGGAGAAGAAAAAATTTTATCTGTTCTTGTGTGTACTTTTACTGTGTATTATTTTATCTTTACTTGCAGCTACTTTATTTGTTATTCTTATTTGTTGATGGTAATTTTGTATTTGATTATTCTCCTGCCTGATTTTATTTGTCTTTGCTTTGTGAAGCACTTAATAACATAGTTTTGAAAGTTGCCATACAAATAAATTTTTTATTATTAAATCTCAGTTTGCCAGATAGATAGTTAATTAGTTGATCCCAGCAGCACCTTAAACAGCATGTAAATGTACCTGACAATATCACTCCAGTCCAGATAAAAGCTGGTGTGGTGGTCCTTACTCTTCAACACTGTTAACAAAACGCTGTTCGCCCTTGATATTGTTGACGTTGTTAATTAAAAGCAAACACCACCCACCCCTCCAACTGGCCGAGATGAAAAGGATAATTTCTGATATTTCAATAGATATGTTATTCAAAAGACCTTTTTTATTCCCTTTAATAGTCCAAAACTAACTAGCAATACATTTAAAAGACACACTGACTAAAGGTGATTTCAGTTAGACTTTCTGATTTAAAATTAAACCAGTGTTGAATGTAGACAGTCTACTCACAGGAGGGGTGCATGTAATGCCTGCAGGGCTGTGGCTGTGTTTGCGGCTGGGGCTGAGCCACCATGGAGGAGCTGAACGAGTCGACCACAGCTGGCTGACTGGGCCCAGGGGTGGCCTGGGAAACGTACGCAGGAGGCCGTGAAGTGGAGCCTGGGCAGCACGGGTCAAAGGCTGAGGTGCTGCCATGGAAACTAGCCCCGCTGTTTCCACCGCTCCGAACACTGCTGTTGCTCAGGTCCACTGGCAGAGTTTGCTGTGGAAGGAAAGCGGAGATGTTATACATAGAAGAGGGACATACTTCTCCTGTGGAATACTAAATGAGTCTTCCTTTGAGATCGTTAGCCCAGAGCACAAACACAGTCACGCACAAGTCATACACAAGTTATACACAAGTCAAGTAAATGTCCAATGAAATCTTATAATATATAAAAAGGAGGAACCTTTACGTACTCAGTTTCCTTCAGTTTTTAGCTAAACAGATACAGGTGATGATGAAAGCTCATCTTGAATAGTGCTAAGTGTTGGACCATAACCTTCACTAACTGAGGGGGTGGAGGGAGATGCATTGTGAAGCTTTGAAAAATCAGAGGAGGAAATTTGCATAGTATGAAATCATCAAAGACCATTTTAAACACTTTAATACTTGATCCCATTCATACAGTATTCATACAGTATTCATACTTGCAGTGAGACAAGGAATTTATTCAATTACTACTCGTCATAGAATGAGTAATCTTGTGTTAATAATGACCCAGTGTGCTGAGACAACAAGGCTGACGCGCAGACAGATGACCGTCATCTGGTCATCTGTCTGAATTACATATTGAGAGGCGGTGTGACATGCAACAAATGTCCCCAGCTGGAATTGACGTGGGACATTATGGTTATATGGTATGTGCTGTAAACATTGTGCTACCAGAGCACCCAAGGAACATTTTTTTTAAGACATTTAGCTTCGCTGGGAGGAATACTCTCTTTCTCAGGAAGACTCTGTTCACACTCACAGATACACATGATCAGTTGGTGGTTAAGGTCAGCTGTCAAGAGGCTGCTAATGGTTTTCTTCGCTAATATAAACTATGAGACATTTCATTCATTCGTTGGCAAGGGATAACAGATTTAAGTAAAATGCTTTCATAACCACACTAACAGCAATAAATTAACTATTGTACAACAACAGTGCGTTGGTATACCTGGTCATGGTAGTGGCCTGTGTTGCTGCTACTACTATTGTTGCCGCTGCTGCTGCTGACAACAGCGCAGGGTGCGGGCAGAGCACTGGGTCGCTCCACAGGGCAGCTCGGCTCTTGAAAGGGCAGGGTGCCCGGGGGCTGCGGTGCTGGGTGATGGACGTGGTGGATGAAGTGGTGGGAGTTGCTGTGGCTGTGGCTGTGGCTGTGGCCGTGGCCGTGTTGAGAGCCACTGCTCTGCTGAGAGGGCGATGCCTGCAGGCAGCTCGAATGGGGGTGGCTCAGGGATAGGTGACCAGGGGAGGGCCCTCCACACGGGGAGTGCTGCTGACAGCAGGATGGGAGTCTCGGCATGGCCGTGCCTGCGTTTTCTCCTGCTGTACCTGGCAAACCTGGTCTGCTGTCATCTGAAGAGAGTCAGACATGCTACGATTAGGAAAAAATATAGGATGACACAGCAGATTAGTATTTAAAAGAGTAATAATAAAGATGATCCATGGTGACATGTGACAACACAATATAGGCCATTTTAAGTAATAGCAGCAGCTAAAAGATAGTTATCTTGGACCCAAGCTGACTCCGAGCCACAGAGTGTAAATAAAACAGTCTACAGCAGCTGGTTTCAACGTGCCATGTACTGTCTTACCCTCTGTGGCTGTGCGAGTAGAGCCACTTGGCCTCTGTGTGTGCATACTTTCAGGTATTGAGCCTGGGCAGCTAGTGGAAGGGCCTGGGGCGTCATTGAGCTCTGAGGTAGAGGCATGATGGGAAGATGATGACGAGGAGGACCTGACTGTTTGAGGGTGAATGCTGCCAGAGGTTGTTGGCACAACTGAGAGATCTGGGGAGAAAAACATTATCAGGTGATAATTTAGAAAAGGAGGAATAATGACAATTGTGCTCAGAGGGAGAGATCATTTCAAAATTTCATAGGAGAGGGGTCTGCTGCTGGCCTCTGACTGTGTATGTTTTAAACTTCTATTTATGCTACATTGAGTTTCAAATAAATTTAGGATAACAGCTAACAAAGCCTTCTGATTTTAATATGTCTACATATAGATGTACCAGTTGTTGCTCACAGATAAAAAGGCATCAATTTTACAATTTATGTGAACGTTTGAAATTCAACTTGTCTTGGAAAAAAGAATCCTAGCATGGACTGTAGCATGTGTGTACTTGTCTGCAGAGGCTTAGCAGCCGAGGAGAAGAGCAGACCTTATTAGCATTCCAGTGTGCGCACTCCATCTGCTTTTCATATTCACAAATTAATTTCCTCTTTCTCCTAAGAAATGCAAATACTCTAATACTCAGTGCTCTACCATTTTACTATCCGTCATGGGCGTGGGCTGATTAAGAGACTGACATTGGACTTAAGTCACACAAATGCCTGAGGTAACAAAGCAGCCTGCTTTTAACACAAAATAAAGTACTTGTGTGCTGTGAAAAGAAATGCATATAAATGTGGTACTGCTGGAGGTTAATGCAGGTTAATGTTATTAGTTAATGTAGAACAACAAACTCTAAATTCTTGTCACTGAGTGGTTAATTGATGTACATAAGAGTTCATATTTAAAGTATAGTAACAACCCATGTTTATTTTATTAGTTGATTTAAACTACTTAGTTACTTAGATATCAGGATCTAAAATATTATTTTTGCCAACAGCTACCGTTAGCACATTTGGATTTTATGATTGCTCTGTCTCTGGCAAACTGAATACAACACATTATTCTTGTAGTAAAGAGTTAGGATAGTTTTAAATTCTTTAAAAGCCAGAGTAAAGTCCACGTTAACTTTTGTGCAGCACCTTTGTGACATCAAATTAGCTGTAGATGTATTTCCTCACCTTGGTGCTAATGTCATGAATTTGACTGTATAAATTAGAAACTAATATCACAGATCACTTAAAGAACCAATGTGTGGGATTTAGTGGCATCGAGCTGTAAACTGAGCACTAAGCACTGCTTGCGTTGGTATTTGGGGACCTGGGAATGAGAATGGGCTGTGAAGTGTGTAGGAGAAACTATGGTGGGGGTGAAAACTCAAAAGGCCCAATCTACAGCCATCGTTTGGTTTGTCTGTTCTGGGCTACTGTAGAAACATGGCGGTTCAACATGGCAGACTCTGTAACTACTCCTTTTTTTTAGGTGAACAGTCACAGTTCAAAATAACTTGGACGAAGGACTTTCCACTACGTTCATTATTACCATCTTCATCGACAGTGAGGTCCACCACCTCCCCAGCATTCTGACGCAGTGGTTGGATGACGGTGGAGAGTCTGTGACGTCCACGTGGCTCTTGAAGACGATTCTGGGAGCAACTATTAGCCCAAATCCTGCTAAGACCCCCTGCTGAGCGTGACCTGTAGACATACAGACATAAAAAAAACTATTACAGGCAACTGCAGTACAGGACCGCCTGCCTCACCAGGAAGAGTCTCGCAGGTCAGTAAAGCATTCGCTTCGCCACAGCCCGACTCTCAAGCTCATTTCCAGGACAGCCCTGCTTGGATAAAAAGCTGCTGCAGCAAAGGTGGACGACAAAGCAACACTGGACAATTCTGACAAAAGCATTCTCATCTGGTCTTACTAACTAGTGTCTATAGTAGTTACCAATTTCAATTTCTAAACGGTTTGAAAATTTGATTATGTGTCCGTCAATTAGATCATCTGTGACATTCACCTTTCGTGAAGGCAAAAAAAAAAAATAGCAACACTCCGTTAACCTTTCTTCATGACAGAGATCATGACATGTCACAGCGGGAAAAGCATTGCTGTAGCTACTAACAATAACGTCTCTGATCCATCTGGGTATGTCATGTATTCCAGGGCCCTAGCTCTGGCACACATACATGGAATGCAGCCTTTACTAATGTTATGATATCTGTGTTTAATGGGTATAAATGTCCATAGTAATGAAAGGTTATATAGAGTGCTTGATTGTGTGTAATGGAGCTGGTACCCCTCAATGCAAAGTGTCAATATCACACACTGATGGAGTTTATTTAATTCTGGGAGCTAACATGGTGATCGATCCTTACATGATTACTTATACAGCCCTTATTTGGATACAATTGCATTGGTAGCAAGACAGCAGCCACAAACCAATGAATGTATTTTAAGACAGCGCTTTTCTGATTCTACATCAGGACATTTAGACCATTTAAAAACAAACATGGCCACCCAATCACTTCCATCCAAATCCACCACTCTTTCCACCCACCTTCCCTTTCACTATATCTCGCTCAAATGCTCTGTGACCCCCCTTGCTCTGCCTTCGGTTTTTTTTTCTTTTTAATTTTCTCTCTCAAAAGGCTCCTGTCGCTCTACCCCTTGCTCTCTGAGACTGGAGTGAGAGGCCGGGGAATAGTCACATTTCCCCTCACAGTGCTGTAAAGCCCGAGGGACAAGAGACTAGAGACTGTATGGCAGTGCCGTAAAGCTGGATACCATGGAGCTTTTTGGCTAGGGGATTTCACTGCTGTTCCATGAGGACATTTGAAAAAAAATGCACTCGAGCTGCCCTGTTAACCACAATTTCATAGTAAATATCGAACTTCTGGTCTTTCAAACAAATATTAATCAAATATTATAGTCTAACTCAGTAAATCTTACTGATTAAATAACAGAAACACAATAAATTGTCAAATTGTCAGTTTTGAATTGAAAACTTGTATTTTCTATAACTTCAATAATTTGAATTATGGAACAAGAGTGTTTGGTGTCTTAGTTGTTGAAGATCCAATGTGAGTACAAAAGTCCAAAGATTCCAATTTCATACTGTATAAAAATTTAAATACATACATAACAGTATTTAATGCCATGAGCTGGTTCAATTATTGAGCTATTTCTCGTGATGCAGAAGGCTACATTTCTGAAAGAGTTTGGCTTTGATCACAATCCTCAGATGTGTTTTAACGCAGGAAATGCCTTCCTCTTTGCTGTTTGTGATAAGGGGGATTCCCATTAGCTCATTCTGTCTGCATCCATTTCAATTTCCTGTGAGACACACTGTACAATGCAAGTGGAATAAAGGAGGAAACTTATCAACTCTCATACTTCACAAATCCCTAAATCAAACTTGTGCCCATATGCATGCATACACACAAACTTGAGATTGCCCATAAAACATACAGCAATGAGGGTGGTAAGCAGGGGGGGGCGCATGGTGGTTGTGTTGGGATCTAATTGGCCTAGCTCCTCAGCTCTGGGATGATCCCAGGGAGCATGACTAGCCACTAGGGAGGGGTTCCTAATTAAGTAGACCTGGGATTATTTTGTAAATATCTGTTTACCACCATGACCCCCTGAGGGTGTGTGTGTGTCGGGGGGGGGGTAGCCAAGAGGAAAACAGTACACTGTAAACATGAACACTATGGGAATGGGTGTCTTGGCAAAGCTAAGGTTGTGCCAAGCCAACGTGATGTGAGCCACATGCCCCAGGGATCAGAGGAGGACTGATGACTGAGGGCTGAGCACTGCAGTAATATACTGCAGAGTAAACTGCTGGTTTGGGAGTTACAGGGAATGAGATCATACAAGGCAGGAATAGCACTGTGTAAGAGTGGTAAACAGTTCGAGGCATCAAGCTTCGCACTGACGTAAAGTATTGAGATTGTCTTCATAATTCAGGACACGATGATGTCACTTTCTAACTCTCAGCAGTAGAGAACTGGCTGATATGTCCAATCATTAAAATTACAGAGTGGCATGCAAGCCCTTTATGTTGATACAGTGCATTTTGTTTGTCAATGTCCTTAACAGCGTAATAACACAAGATATCATACCATCCAGCTTTCTTTCATGAACAGTTTTGAAACTGTCTCACAAATGTACTATTACTTAATGACATATGTGAGAAGCCCATAAGTGGCTGCCCCTTCTGATACACAGTACATAATGTATAAATAAAAGCAGAGGTTATAAAAATCATTAGGATCCAAAGAAAAGGTGAGAGAAATCTCTAGGCAAGGTTTTGTTTAAAGGCAAGGATCAGCAACCCTTACTATCGAAAGAGCAATTTTAGAAAAAGAAAAATCTATGCAAAACATATTTGAGCCTTATAAAGACAATTTGTTGCCGCAGATCAAACATAAGCCAGCAGCTTCGGTGGTGAAAGCATGAAATGTTAAAAACAAATGTTAAAACTACACAGTTGTACAATTGGGGAATGTAAAAATCACTATAGGCCTACGACAATGATAAATTAAAATGTTAAAAGAAAGTACTGTTTTTCATTTCCATGTACATTTTAGTCAAAGCCACAGAGAGTCACTGGAGAGAAGCTAAAGAGTCTGCCTACCCCTGGTTTAAGGCTATGACTTCTATATATATATATATATATATATATATATATATATATGTTTTGTTCAAGTCAATGTTGGGCAACTGGACTTTAAAATGCAACTTGAATGTAATATATTCGTATTTTAGGTCATCTGTTTGTGGATAAGTCATGCTTTTACTTTCATAGCTGTTTGTTTTTAGGAAAGAGAGGCACAGCATTATACATGATAGGATCTACACAGGAATCATGGCGGCAGTATGTGCTATAGTCATAGAAAGTCTAATGACCCTACTATGCATGTCCTGAGCTGATATGCAGAATCAGGGCAGGGACTGATCAAGGCCTTTTTTTAATTGATCCATATCAGCTACATAATCCTTGTTTATTGTAACTCACTGCACTCTGGGTAAACCTGCTGCCAAACACGCCCCACAGTACACTGTTAAAACACTGGAATGTTCTCCCAGTGCAATGCTCCGCAAGGGAGCGAACTGTGGAGCAGCAATGACAAATAAATAACAGCCAGCAGTTCAAATTAAAGATATCCACAATAACAGCATGTCACTGGGCAATGTGAGAAGAGTAGGTTAGGGTTAAAAATGGTTGCTTTGCCCCTGTTTCAGTAACATTTTGCACCATGTCCCTAAAGTGCTGCTGTTGGCTGAAAACTGTATTTGAACTTCCACATTTTGTACAAGCTGGGGATGGAGAGAGTTTCCAAATCCTGTTCACAACAAGGTAAGGAGAGACACACCTCCGTCCACAGAGGTTACAGAAAATACTACTAGACACTAGTAGTACTAGCAGAAACTGTACAGCTGAATCATATTGGACGATGTACATTCAGTTACACCTGGATAAACCTAATGCAGTCTAATATAACGGTCCTGTATGGTCATTCATTCTGGACATTTCTCAAATTAACTTTTTATGTGAAGATAAAACCATATTCTCATTACTATCTTGTTGCTGCTGTTAACAATGCCCCTAGACGCAAAAAAAAAAAATATATTGGTTTGTTATCTTTTTCTATGTGTGTAGCATGAAGGGACTGCAAACTTGTATTTCATTGCACAACCATGATCCTTGATTTTGGAGGATGTAGTTTGTGCTGTTATTGAACTGTACCACATTATACATAGAGGTGTTTATGTTATTTAGTGTGGACAAAAATAGAGGAGTATACAGTAGTATAATAAAAATCATATATATATATATATATATATATATATATATATACACATGTTTATATGTATTAATATGTAA